ATATATATATATATATTTTATTTTATTTTTCATTTTTTTGTGATTTAAGATTAAAGATAACTTAGTCTGTCAACATGCTCTATCCAGGACTCAGCAGTGTCCTGGAAAGAGAAAATATTTTAGTTTCACCTGGTTTAATTCTCAAAAAATTCTTCTCTGAGGAACTTTTTTCTGTCAGATTATTTATTGATTACTTGAAAAAATAATCGGCACATTAGTTGATTTGCAAAATAATCTTAAGTTGCAACCCTAGTTTCAATACATAAATATATTTTAATCTAAGCCAAGCCATTTTGTGTCCGACTATGTTCAGGATTGTTTTGTTGCTGTAGGGTTGTTCCAATGGTCACTATTAAGTCTTTTCTTCATCTGTTACGTTATTTACGGTGTTCTCCTGTCTGTAGCTTTATCCTTATTCCTATCAGCTTCGATCTCCTTTGTAATCTTATGCTGATGCCTCTTATAGAAAAAAGCACAACAGATGCTTTTGTCTATCACACACATTAAATGATTTGATCTTTATTAGGGAACAGAGTTTTACACCCAAGTGCATAAAGTGTAAATGTTCATTTGTAGTGTGTTAAGAAACAGCTGGAGATGGTTTCCCCTCTAAAGATGATTAATGACTAATAAATAATTAAACAAGGCTGGAAATGAAACACTGAAAATGGATAGATTTTTGTCCACAGAATGAGGGAGGTTTCATCAATCATTTCGTTCCATAATTTGAAGTTTTTAAAACTTTTTTAACATGTCCTCTGTTTAAACACATCAGCATAGATCCAAGTAAATCACTTTAATTCAATCAGTTCAAGAAAGAGTACCCAAATGGTAAGGTTTGCAGTCTGCTGGCACTATCAGACGGGGACTTAGATGAATGTAATCACCAATGTACATTAGGATAGTAGATGCCAGCCTATTAGAAACAAATTAAAGATTCATAATGGTTTCATTTGATCTAAACATATAGATAGTGTGGAGTTCTCTATGCAGTCGAGCTTGGTATTATGCTCAGATAACAGTGGTGATTTTATTTCATTGTCGTTTTTCAAGTTTGCCCTGGGGCTGTTTTCCTTGCAGTTTGTGTCTGTTTGCCCATACAGGAAGTAGTTCAGATGTCACTCAGACTATTACACATGTTATAGGATATGATATGATAATAAGAAAGTTTTTCCTTATATCAAGTCTGGAATAACTGGGTTGGAAAATAACACCAATGTAGCAAGATAAATAGTTTGACAAAAAAATAAAAAATAAGAGAAACGAGAAGAAGAAGGCCACACTGATATCCAGAAACCAATAGGCGAAAACTGAAGAGTTCATTAATTATTCATTTGATACTTCACTCATCTACTTACTTGACTTCCTCTCTTCTGCTACTGGGATATTTACTTTAATGATGAGGTTCATTTAAAGGATGCATTCTGACGTGAGCTTCAAGTCTTTTTAGAAATGCCCCTCCTTAAGGTTCTCTGAAGCTATAATATCAAATTATCTTTTCATGAAAACATCATGAAAGGACATAAGATTTAGGTCGTTTTAGAATAGGTCTCAAAAAGGTATTTATATGTGTTTTCTTCTGGAAACTATTAGTTCTATAGTACCCCATTAATCATGCCATTTCCTAAAATTTTGTCCTAAAATTTTGTAAGAGACTAATATTATACTAATAAAGGTTTTTTTTTTCTGGTGAGGCTTAATAGTGTTAAATTACCATCTGTATTTAACTTCCATATCATGACAAAATGCCCACTTAAAAAAAAAAAAGCCTCTCCATTAATAACCTGAAACAATAGATTCAGGTGTGTGTGTGTGAGAGCGACAGAGATTGCTGCAGCTCTGGGTTCCATCTGCTGCCTCAGGAAAAGCTTTAGGAGTGATTAGACTCCTCTGAAGGCCACCTGCTAGTGCACTGAACACTGAGTGCTCCATGCAACAGCTGGAGGTGCACTTCAAAACCCTACCTCCACACAACAACAAGTAACAACAACGCTAATGGAAACATGCACACTGGCACATGTCCAACCGGTCTCTATGGGCTCAGTGCACCTCTGTATATAAAGAGAGACAGGGAGCTTGATTAGACATTGCCCTGCAGATGCCCTAATTAACCTCACCTGGCACCAGTCCCTGGCCAGTCTACCCCCTCCATTGTGCTGAGCAAAAACCACACCCCGCCACTATTGTGTCACGGTTGGTTTCCTGCTCAGTGTGATCCATTTACAGTGTAAATGTGTCACAAGTTTGTCCCATTAAGGCTGCAAATAGTTGTCGTCTCTGCCATAAAATGCCATAAAAACAGTTGTTCACCTCTCTGATTTTTGCTCTACTTGTCAGGTCTGTCAGTGTAGGAGGACAGCCTTGTGATTTACTGCATTCACTAATTCGTTGACACAGAAGTGAATGCTGTCAGCGGACTTCCATCAGAGTAAAGGTGGATGAATAAAAATGTTCATCACAGTTTTCAGATTTCCATTTGTTAAATATTTTGATAACCAACCATTGCTGCAATTTAATTAAATTTAATGTTTTGCATGAGGCTATTTGTACTAACATGTAAACAGGGTGTTTGCAGATGGTTATAATTCATAAGTGGCTGTTCTTCATTTTTTAATGAAAACATACTGTTTTCCTTTAAAGTTATTTTTAAGAACAAAGAGTTGGATACAGCCACATTCATCATGTTTGGGTTTTTGTCCATATTCTTCGAGTTTTCATTTAAAACGGTTTACTTTTATTGCATTACATGACAGCTTTGCATGAAGACTAAAACTAACTCATCCTAGAGTAAATAAAAAGCATCCATTCAGAAACGGTCGACTTTCTCATAACATCAGGTATATTTAGGCGCATCAGTGTTTATAACTCCTACATTTCATTACGATTTCAATCAAATTTGTATTACTGACTCACTCTAACTCAATTTGAGACTGTTTTGGGGAATGACATACCCTGTGTTTGAGCTTTTTCTACATAAATAGGAAAATATTCAATAACAAAAATAATAGTCAGTCTGAAGTGTTCATGTTTTGGAAAAATCCCCCCTTGTCAGATTCAGATACTTATAACTGATGGGCTTGGATGTTGCCAGCTGCATGTTGCTACACACGTGAATTCATTTCCGATGCCGAGCCCTGTCATGAGGGATGCTCATGGAAACATGTCTGAGCTGCACAGCCGCTGGCAGCAGCCCAACTTCTAGGAAACCTTAGGTCATTCTTGCTCTCTTCTGCAACAACAGCAGGTGACAGACAGGTGCTAATGGAGGTCAGTGTACCTACATGGAGGGTTTGAATAGCTACCTTCAGCAGCTTATGCATCACTTTTTCTTTCCATTACAACATGGGAAATAAAAAGCAGCCTTCAAACCTTACTCTGATTAAGGACTGTGTTCTTCGCGTGTGCAGAAAGCTCCTGTTTCAATGTTGCAAACACAAACAAGCTAAGCACAGCAGT